CTCCTGTGCTGGCAGCTTACAGCTCCTTGCTCCTCCTGGCATGTATGCTCTGAGGGCAGGGCCCTCTGCTCTGCCCATCTTTCACACCCCTTCCCCTGGTCAGACAGGGGGAGGTTATGCCCATCTGCACTGTGAATTGGATACAAATAATGGTTGTGGGTAGTGTTCCTGAGAGTGGAGAAGCAGTGGGACAAAGATGAGGTGACAGCCAAGAGGGACAAAGGTCAGCCACCCCACCAGCTTGATCAGAACCATTTGTGCATACACGGGACAATGTATGGAAGGATGGGTGGAACCAGGTGACTTACCCATGCCAGACTGTGGAGTCTAACTACTGGGGAAAGGTAAGAACAAATATATTCCTAAATAACCATGATTGGGACGTGGCTATTTATGATGGGCCTTGACTCTGGTTTATCAGGTGCCTTGCCAGTGTGCCACGGCAGGCTGCAAGGGCTCCTTCAAACCTAACCAATCAGTGGAACTGAGTATGGAGCATGTTCCTTTTTCTGGAGGAAACAGTTCATGTCATACATTAGATTTTAAGTTTATCAACTCCTAAAAGTTCAAAAAGATCATTCTGGTGAAAGGATGGAAGTCAGCTAGAAGTATAACTATTACGTGAGTTATATAGGTATTGCCCATGTCAGAAAGAGAGGGAATAACTACAAGAGGTCTTCCTCAGATAGACGATGGGCCAGATAGACTGAACGTTTTCGATGAGAGCAAGATGAACGTTAATATGAACAAGATGTCATATTAATAAGACAAACAAACCTACTCATGACATACAGGGGCAGCAAGGAATCACCATGGGTGCCACCCACATGCTCTACTTTTCCGCTGCATGAGTAGATGACATGGAAGTGGGGAAGATTCAGGCCCCTGTTGCAGAGATGTCCAGAGTCACTGCCCTCCAAGGACGATGGGAGGCAAAGATAAAGCCTCCTTGCAGTGACGAAGTCACTTTGTGGGAAAATGGGATTTGGTTTCACAACTTTTCCAGAACTGTCTCTTGTGTAAGATGGGACGCATTTGACAAGAATCCCTTACGGAGCGGTCGGACACCATGCGAATCGCCTTACAAGCATTATCTTGTTTATTCTTACTGGAGCCTGGGCCGGTTGAGCAGTCCTAGAGCTTCTGTTTTACAAGGGAGGAAATGGAGGCCCAGAGGTGTTGAGTCATTTGCCCCAAAGCAAACAGCAGGAAGTGAAACAGTTGTACTGGGAGCTTGTTGGATTGGTCCCCAGCAAAGTTGGTACTTGGACGCCCTATGATAGAGGAGATATCTTGTGGTCTAAATCAGCTCCATCTCTGTCTTCCATAGCAGGGCTGGATTCTGAATGTCTTAGGCCTATGGCTCCATTTGCCTTGACAAAGACCGTGCTGTGCATGCACTTAAAACTACTCTGCCTGGTACTTCATACAAGTATGCCAATACTTCTGATTTGTTGGACATCTAGATGAGTCATTTTCTTAATGCCACCCGTTTAGCAAGTTTCTGAGGTTATCATTTCACTGATGGGGTAAAGAGGTAAAAGGAGGCCCAGAGAACCTACCTGAAGTCAGCTAGCAAAGGGGTGTAGCTTGACTGTACCCACCTTCCTTCTGCTTTCTGGCCTCTTAGTGAGCAAAGGACCTAGAGATGCAAGGGTTAGCTTCCTTGCTGGATTTGCTTCAGATGACAGGGCGTGGAAAAGCTCCCTGCCATAGCAAAGGGAAAGGAAGGACAGGGAGGGAGGGCAGGGAGTCAGGAAAGAGGCAGAGGAAGGGAAGGGAAACTTGGATGAGTACGGGATACGTGTCGGGAGTCATTAAAATATTGAGGGATGACCTAAATACATAGCTGCAGTCTCCAAACCTTTCCTAAAAGTGGCACTGGCCACAGAGCTGGGGCTCAGTGAGTCACTCACTGCAGAATACACACAGGTGTGCACTCTATCTTCTGGACTACAGTGTGAGGTCAGAGCCCCCTGCTGCGTTATATGCTCCTACAGAGACAAGTATGATCCTTCAGCTAAAATCAGTGGCTCTTAAACTTCTTCTCTTTCAAAGAATTTGACCTTGACTTTTGAAGCCCTAGGGTCTACAAATCATGAAGTATAGCAGGCAGTAGGAACAGCACCCAGAGAACAGAATCAGCAGATATGAGTGGATAGGGCAGCCTGTATAGGTCTTGCAAAATCTAGAAGCCAAGCTGGACCCAGAATCTGAGAGGTCCTCAGTATTAGAGCATGCAGCCAGTGCTCCAAGAAGTCAGGCAGGGGTCAGAGCTGGCATGATTCCAGGTGTGTGACCTGGGTCCCGAGTCCATCTGAATAGGTACAGTGAAGTAGTTTGGGTCTGGATCCAAGTCCAAGTGAGGTAAGAGTAGCCCCTTCCTTCCAAATGACCTAGTGACCTTTGGGGACCCAGGTAAGGAAGTTCATGGGTGGAGGTACTGAGCTATGGACTCATGCTAAGGGGGCAGGATGGGGTTGGGGTGTGGCCTGGGAGAGTAGTTATAGTCCTGACTGTGACCCAGAAGTCAGGCTGACCCCACACCAGCCTTTCTGCCATAATAATTTCCCTGTTGGTTCTTAGAGGCTCACTCCACAGTCCTCCCATGGCTGTGGTTTCCTTTCACTTTTGAAATGAAAACTGCTTCTTTTTTTTTTTTTGGTTTTTCGAGACAGGGTTTCTCTGTGTAGCTTTGCGCCTTTCCTGGGACTCACTTGGTAGCCCAGGCTGGCCTCGAACTCACAGAGATCCGCCTGGCTCTGCCTCCCGAGTGCTGGGATTAAAGGCGTGCGCCACCACCGCCCGGCTGAAAACTGCTTCTTAATCTTGAAAGAAACCTTGTGTGTTTCTTATCTTGTTTTTTTTTTCTTTTCTTTCAATTACTACTCTATGGTGGCCATTTACCCATGATGCTCTTCCCTCATCATCTATCCCTGTGTTTTCCATTACCATCTTACCTGCAGGTGCCTTGGGCAGCTTAAACCAGTGGTCCTCTGAGCTATCCTGTTAGACATTCAAGTCCTGCTCTCTTCAGGAGAATTGCTTAGCGGATCTGAAGAAGTTTGCATAATAGAAAACCCATGAAACCTTACACCTTTACTCTATAGCAGCCCTTACCAGCGCAGCCTCTTAGGGTTCCCAAATGAGGCCAGAGCTGATACCAAATGGCTTTTCCTCAGCAGGCATCTACCTCCACTCCCATTTTCCACTTGGTGCCATGAAGACTCAGAAATCCAGAAGCTAAGTTTGTTAGGATTGTGCATAAGATAGAAGCACCTAGCTCCGCACTTGACATCCTAGTCAATGGGCCCCAGGAGACTGTGTGTTAAGACTTGTGTTCCGCGGCCTCTTCCAGAGCTTCAAAATTATTTGATTCTCCTTCAGGTTCTTGGCAAGCCAGAGGACTAAGTTTCCCTGGACTGCATATATTCTTTACTGGATTACATGGGACTTTATTTCAATGAAATTTTAAGTTAGTGCTTTCTTGTCACTAGGATATTTGCATGGCGTGGACAACTCAGACTTCCCTGGTCAAGCTGATAGTCACAAGCTTAGTACAAACTGTAGCCCAGATAAACAAGTTTTTGTTTGTTTTGTTCTTTTGAAACAAGGTCTCATGCAGTCCAGGCTATGTAGCCTTGAACTTGCTCCATAGCCAAGACTGGCCTTGAGTTGTTGATATTGTCCCTGTCTCTAGAGTGCTGCAGTTAGAGGTGTGTGCTACCATGCCCTGCAAAATCAGATTTTTAGATCACCCTTTTCCATCCAGCTCTGTGATCCTAATGAGGTGGGGGATAATAGCATGCTTGGGCTGTCACAGCCACTGGGCTCATGGGAGACCCTGTATCCCCTCACTTTACTCCTAAGGAAGTGGGGTGTGGCAAGGTTACAAAAGACACCTGTGTCTAATCAGTCTCCTCTGTAGAGATCTATGAAATGATGCACAGCAGCCTGGGAGGGGTGTGTGCACTTATGCCCCCACCTTCATCTGAAAGTGACTGGGACTGGAACCCAAATATGACTGCAGTTTAAGGGAGACATCAGAACTCAGGAAGCAAATGAGGTAAGGGAAAGTGGATCAGATGGAGCTAGGCTTGAGGTGAGCATGAAGAACACGCACAAGTCCTCGATGTCTACAGACTGAGTCCTGAGGAGGAGGCTGTGTTAGCCTATGGGGCTCTACCTCCTTAGTCTCTAGGACTTGCCTCTCACTCACCATGTGCCAGTCTGTCAAAAGGGCAAATCTCTGTGCAGATCAAATTACATTTGAAAGGTAAAGTATGAAACGTATAGAAGGGTTGCTTATCCTGTTACTTTCTTGTCTCCTTAAAAATGCCTCCTACACTGCTCAGGTCCATGGGATGCTTTGACTGAAGCTGTCATCACTGGTCAAAAACCCAAAGATGTCACACAAACATGGGGACTATCCGAAACATGAATGAACTTTACTGAGTTCAAATTACACCCATCTCTCATATGTGTGTGTGTGGGGTGGGCATATACCATGGTTCTGTGTGCCCCTCTCCTGGCTTCAACTGGGAGATGTTAAGGCACCTAGAAGGGAGCAAGAAGGGACATCAGATCGCAGTGTAAGGTCTAGGTCTCTTTAGGACTCTCTATCATCTGCAGCAGGAATGAGGTGGGATAACAGGAAGAAAGAGTATTGGGGAAGAAAACCTCACACCTTTAGGGGACTCTCCTGCTGCAAGATGGCAGGCAAAGGACCGAACTGTCACTCAAGAGACTTGGGGTTAGATAACTCACTTTCAGAATGAAGATCAAGATGTTAGCTGAAAGTCAACTGGAGATCCAGGGCAGTCAGGTGTAATTTCAAACGGTGTGAGTGGGGCAAAGAACTGTGGCCAAGCAAAACATGGAGGGCTTCCCCGGTGTGAGGAGAGCTTTTTAATAAGCAGAAGTGTTCATTAGTAACAAAATGTTTCACATAAACATCATATCAATAACACATCTCCAATACGTTCGGTTTTGGTTCGACCATGGGGAAAAGGGGTTCCCTCTATCGAGATGAGCCAGCAGTGGGGTGGACCTATCCAAGCCAGGAGCTAAGTAAGACAAGACCCGGTCCTCCTGTCTGACGCCCTCCATGTTTCCCAAAGTGACTATCCTGGGGGTTGACAGACGGTGACTTAGCATCCTGGTGTTACAGAGGTGGAGACTGAACCTGGGGTTGGTGAACTGAGCTGCCAAGTGACAAGGGTTTGGCTGTTCCCAAAACTGCCCAACTCTGGAGTGAGACTCTGCCTAGCTCTGTCAACTCTCACTATGTGGCCGGTGGCAAGTTCTTTAGTCCCTCTACCTCTTTTCCTCATCTTTAACAGCCGCTGGCTAAATCACACAAGCCAGGATGTGGAAAGTATCAAGAATAGCCCTTTGACATACACATAGTGCTACCTCAGAGTGCCAAATGCAGAAACTCCCAGCCCCTACACCAAAGGGGGCCAATGGCAAGGTCCCAAATATATACCCCATGCTGCAGGAGAATCCCAGTCAATACTGGTCAAGGCAGTCAGTGCAGGGCGGAGAGGGGCTAGAGGCCAAGGGATGTAGGGAGCAGGAACCTGGAAATTTTCCCTAGTGTCCTGGAACAGTCTCTGTGTCCTCTCTTAGAACGTTGCCAAGGAGGAACACACAGGCTGGCTAAGCCCATGCCAAACAGGAACAAAAAGGTATCTGGGCCAGACAAGCTGATACATTAAATATGCCCAGGTTAACACTGGGCAAACGCTGACTCCCAGCAGGGTCCCTTCTCTTCCTCCTACTCCTTCTTACTGCTCTTGGTGGATTTGTTTTAGTTCCTGCCAAGAGTCCCATCAGAAATGACCACTGGTTTCTTTGCCTTTGGGGAAGGCTGCAAAGGAATCAGACAAACAATCTCTGGCTAGCTTTCTCATTATTTTGGCTTTAACAGGCCACTGGATGACCCTAGGACTTCAGTGGTTTCTGAAGTCCTGGACCTAAACCTTAGGAGCAGGGTGTCAATTGTGGGGCAAAAAAAAAAAAAAAAACCTGCTCCTAGCCTTAGCCTTGCTTCTATGGGTGCACGTCCCTGGGAAAGGGCTTTTCCTGGTCCTCACAATCTCCTGGGTCTGGAGGGCTGAGAGAGGCAGATGGACTTGAAATTTTTTGGCTCTCTCACCCGTTAGTTTGCTGGAAATCCTCAGAGGTTAGGCAGCAAACCAGGGGCATTCTCTATGGCTGTGGCCATGGACAGGGCAAAGCGGGTATGTTACATGGCCGAACCTATGCTTTCTCAAAGTCTGGAACTCCTTGGTTAAGATTGCCACCATGCACACATTAAGCTCAAATAACCAGGATCTTTAGCTGGATCGCATGCCTCATCAGTCAAGTCCAGGCTGTTCATTTCTGGGCAGAGTTATTAATTATTGCCGTTGAGCCTGACTTCTCCTGGCCCCTGGCTTCTTTTTTTGCAAGACTTTCTCAATTTTTATTACTGACTTGGCAGGACACTGGGGTGTTCATTCATTCAATGAATGCAGAGAGCGTCTTGGCGACTCTGGCTCTGCCTCGGTGGGCTCAGAGGGGAGCAGGTTGCAAAAAAAGGAAGACAATAAGAAAAGGAGAATATCGCGCACGGTCTTCTCCATGTTACTGCCCTGTCCATCCATCGGAGGCTTCTGAAAACACCTATATTAATGATGGTTTGGGGCCGACATGTAGCTTCCGGAAAGCAGGCAGACTAGGGTTTAGCAGGAAGCTGGGAGGAGGTTCACAAGGCGTCCTCTATAGTGCGAGCTCTTCAGGGGTTAGAGAGATGAGGACTCAGCCAAAGCCTCCACTCCCTTCTTTCTCAGCCCTACATCTGCTTCCAATCAGCCAATTAGAAAGCGGTGTGGGGTTTCAGATCAGCAACCTTTCTCCCTGGAGTAAACCTCTCGTATACTGTACCCTCAAGCTACAGTCCCCGACCCACCTCCACCCCTTTCTCTCTCTGTCAGGTCTCCCAAGCTGGCCATGAAGTTGCTATATAACTGAGGACGATCTTGAATTTCTTATCTCTTCACCCCCATCTTCCGACTGCTGGGATTACAGGCGTGCACCAGCATGCCAGGTTTATGGGGTCCTGAGGTTCAAACTTGGGGCTTCGTGCATGCTCAGAAGGTACTCTACCAAGCGAACTACACCCCAGCCTCATCCTGAGGTTCTATTGGGTGCTTCATTTTTATTAGGCACAAACATTGTGGGGTGGGCAGGGGATAAGAGGGACCTAACCGGTCCTCAACAAGTGCAGCCTGTATCACAGTGTAGCTAATTGGCTCAGTTAGTGAGTGTTTCCTAAACGCCAGGCCCTGCATCCATCTCTCCCAAATGGATCTGAAAATTCTGGAGGAGGTAGTCATAATTTATTATTTTACCCTTTGTTTTCCTAACATATAAAATATATGCACATGCTGGGTGGTAGTGGCACACACCTTTAATCCCAGCCCTCGGGAGGCAGAGGTAGGCAGGTCTCTGTAAGTTCGAGGCCAGCCTGGTCTACAGAGCAGATGTCAGGACAGCCAGGACTGTTACACAGAGAAACCCTGTCTTGAAAATCCACTATATATATGCACATATTGTAGAGTCAGACTTCTCTGGTGTAAAATCTAGAGGCCTTCCACATACCGGCCTCAGTCTCTTTGACCATAAAATGGAAAGAACAATCAATGCTACCTCCTAGATTCTTATGTAACCATCATAGGTCATGCAGCCCAGGGCTGGACAGATACAGGATGTCCAGTGAATGTTTACAAATAAAAGACTTATGAATTTGAAGAGAGACAAATTACTTTCGATCAAAATCTCTCTTCTTAAGCAAGTTACCCATGTGCCTTCCTCCTGCTCCAAATCACAAGAGCATTGGTAATTTATTCATCTGAACTCTATGGTCAAGGACAATACAAAGACAGATGTCACAAGCTCAGTGACCTTGGGGTCCAGATGACTGGTGTCTGAGTCTGTGATCTTTTCCCATCAACAGACGTATTAGACTCACTCACTTCAGCCTCATTCCTCTCTAAATACTTTATTGAAATGCACAACAGTGGCCTGAGTGACTGGCAGCTCTCCTGCTGTACTTTTCCTGGATGCTGCCCCTTCCCACGTGTGGACCCCAGCAGTGCCCACTAACAGCTACAGTAGAACCCACAGGCATGTGGGACAGCAGGTCCCTAGAGCAGTCCAGAGATGACAGCCAGGGCCTCTAATCCCCAAAAGTTCAGCTCTCTGGAGCCACGGTCCCCCAGTACAATGCCTGACAGGCCTGCAGGATGACAAGTGCCCCTACAGGAGCAGACATGTCCCAGTCTTGTGCAACCTGTTCAGATATTGGTTGAGCATAATGAATGGAAAAGTCACCATGTTAACCGCTCCAATCTGAAGTTGCCAATTTGGCTCACACTTAGACTCCCCTTCCATCTACACTGTCCTCAGCACAATGACTGGGTCTGAAGGGAAGGAAGGTGACGCCAGGCTCTGCTAACAGTCACCACTGGCTGGTTGCCCTGGAGAAACATTTTGTTGCCACTGTGGATGAGAAGGGGCTAGGATTCCAAGTGCCTCTGGGCAGCCCAGGGTCTTCTCACTTCTTCCCAAAGTAATAGTAAGCCAACCGTCTTGTTGAGAGCTAGTATGGTTACCTCATCAGCGTTCCCTGAGCATGAGCTTTGTCATGCTATCCCCCTAGCATGGAGATGCCCTACAAGTAAAGCAAGAGTAAAGAGGCACAGTAGGGCAGCAGCTAGGAAGCTGAATAGGGTTCCAACTCTGTCACTAGCAAGCAGTGTGACCACAGGTCACCTTCCTCTGAGATTCAAGTGCTCCACTTACAAAACCATGGGCTTGGCTGCTGACACCTGTGGTCCAGCTCTGTTCAAGATCCTGATTATTTAATCTGTTGAATAACATCTGATGTGGTGTAGGTGTAGAGATAGTGACCATCTTGCTCAAGAAACTCCAAGCACGCAGAAAGCAAGTGATGTGTGCACCAAGGTCCCCCAGGTCACAGGGGAGTCTGATGTCTGGAAATGCAGCTTTGTGATGAATGAGACGTTGAGCTAGCCATATAGAGAGACATAGGGACAGCAGGGAGTTTATACGGTGGCTTTCTTCGTGGGACAGAAAGCATCCATGAAAGGTTTCCCTTGGCTCAAATAACTAACTGCTCCCCACTCTCCAATCTAGGTTCCTACTCGGGGATTCCACCATTTAAGAGAGATAACATTGGGGTTGAATCATCTCTGATTTGAAGGCTCTGTATGACCAAGGTGGACAGCCAGGGAAGGATGCTGGTCCCACCAGGCTCAGATAGGAAGCCTCTGTGCCGGCCAGACGGAGCCTAAGAGTCTCATGCTGGAAGAGAGGTAGTGGCCCCGAGGAGGCCGCAAGAAAGAAGGACCTCTCAGGATGAATTCAAGTTAGAAAACCTTGAATTAAGTTCCAGAGGACCCAGGGAGCTGGGCAGGGGAAGAAAATCAAGGGGTGTGCCAGGAGAGGGCAAACTGGGAGTGGAGGGCACAGTGTTTGCCTTTGGCTAACCGAGTTCATCCAGTAGAGGATGTAACCCCGCGAGGGAAGGAAGACAGGGTGGAGCCAGCAAGGGGGAAACTGTACACCCAACTGGGCGGACTCACGGAAGAGGCTTCAGGCCGGAAGAGTAGAGAGTGCGGGGCAGCACCCCTCCCCTGCCCCTTCAGCTACCCTGCCTGTCCAGACCAGCCCGCCGCCCTCTCTCAGCCAGGCCCTTTGGCTGAAACCCTGAGAAAGCAGAACGGGGAACACGATGTGAAGACAGCTGCCACCAACCCTGGCACCGAGCACGTGTTCTCAGGCCCTTCCCCAAGGCCGCCTCCTCTGGCCCCGCCCTTTTCCCCACCCTCAGCCGTGACCTCGCCCCCTCTCCGCCACGCCACGCCCCCACCCAGCTCCAACAGCTCTTCCGTCTCCTGGACCCGCCCACCCCCCCGTGCCACACCTCCTCTGGCCTGCCCCGCCCCTTCCGTCTCCAGGATCTGCCCACCTCCTCCGACCTGCCCCACCCCCTGGCCGGCGCTGCCCTCTCCCCGGTGCCCAGCGTGCGCTTCCGGGCCCTCCCGGCGCTCCCCGACGCCCGGACCCTCCCGCCGATCCCGCCAGCCTCCGGCCTCTCCTCCGCAGCCCCACCACGCCCTCGACCTCTCTCACCCGCCACCTCCCTGGGGGACCGGGGCTCGGCGCCTCTCCTGCCGGCTGTCTGGGCAGGAGAGGCCAGCGCTGCCCCGGAGCACGGGACCTGCGTTGACCCGGGAGAACCGAGGACGCGGGCCCCGGATCTGTCCAGCCCCGGACAGGCTCCGGCCCGCAGACCGCCAGCCAGGCTGCTGCTATCATTGGGTGACCCCCCACCCCCCCAAGACCCAGACGCCGCCGCCTGGCAGCGCCTCTCTACTTTGGGCACAGAGGCGAAGAGCGTTGTGACTACAGAGAGTCTGGCGAGGCTGAAGTCCAGCTCAGTTATTTTCAGAGTGACGTGGGCATGTGGTTGCTTCTCTCAGCCTCAGTTGTTGCGTCTGTGAAATGGGGATAATCATGCCTTCAGGGATTTTGTGAGTTCACTAGTAACAGTCACCGTGACCGCTTTCCTGCCCTTGGCTTGTGGTCAGAGGGGGTAGAAGATGCTGAACCGTGAGGCCCCGGCTGTGTTTGCATAGGAGGCCACTTGGGGTGTTGCAAATCTGGCAGTTAGGTGTGGGGTTGCACCTGAGTGCAACCTTGAGAAATGTATTTCTCCTCCCTGCACAGTGATGATAATCACGCAGAGCCAAAGCTTGGGTTAAATGAGATCGTGTGGGGATGGTCCGGGGAAGCATTCAGCACACAGTATGTGTCTTCCAGAAAGTAAGCAGGGCTGGAAAGAAGGTGGAGTTGGGAAGGACAGGTTCCCCGCTGCTTTATTGGAACAGGAAGGAGGCCGAGCTCTGTGGTGTGGATCAGCGTTTAGGGCCATCTCTGAGGTCAGTGGGAAGGCAGATCTCAGATATTCTTGGGAGATGACAGGGGATGTGCCCTTCAACTGGCTCTCACCAAAGCTAGGTGGTCGCAGGCACTGGGCTCATGAAGGAATGATGCTGTCCCTCCGTCAGTGACTAACAGGCTGTTTTATTGCCCTGGCCCCCCCAACACTTGGCCACCTCTCATCCTGGCAAAGGAATAAAAGGGCAGTTGGAACATCCGCCCTGTGTGAAATCTCTGCCTTCTACGGTACTATGACCTGTTTGCTGCCCTGGGCGGTGGCTTTCTGAGGGGAGCTTGGAAGACCCTGTATTTGAGATGTAGGTGGGGATGCTGAGCTACAGCCCTCCTCACTTCCTGAAAGTGTACTGCTGTCAGAGCTGGAGGAATGTAGGGGAGAAGGCACCCCTTAGGGTGCACTCATTCTACTGCGGGGGGTGCTTCCGAGAGTGAGAAAGGCACCCTGAGCAGCAAGCAACCGTCCTCTGGAGGATGGTGATGGTGGACAGTGGACAGCAGCCCCTGCCAGTTGAGGGGGATTAGCCTTTGTGATCACCGCTGCAGGCTCCACGAAGAGAGTCCAAGGGCACGGGGCTCTGAGTACTGATATGCATTTTTATTCTGCAATAATTTTCATACTGAGTTCAAGAGGTACCAGCTCCAAGTACATAAAACCAAATCAAATTAAATTAATTGATTTTATTGAAACCTGCGGCAGTTGTATTCAAGCCCGCAGCTAGGGGCATGACCCTCATGAAATACCAAAGGGGCTTTCGAAATAATTAAATTAATCACACCCTGAGTTCTGCACAAGGGCCTGCTTCTGTGCTCAGAGGCAGGCGTGTTCCAGTCACAGCCACAGGCAAAGGGACAGGTGGTTACCACTCAACCAAAAATGAGGGGCTTCCGATGGGAGGAAGCCCAAGACCCAGACCCCTCACTCCGGGATCTGCCTTGGTTACGCTTCTAGCTTACATATTCTCATGCACAGAGAATTACACCAGCACTCACATTCCCACACTCACATTCCCACTTGTACACCCACCAGCTGGAACACCCCCGTCCTACGGTTTGCCTAGCTTGGCTCCGGCCAAGTGCTTTCTACCTGCCTCACCCCCACTACCAGGCAGGACTCACATGACTCTCCACTCTTTAATTCATTCAGTCCTCACCACAGCCCCTGTCCCTCTCTCTCCCGTTGGAATCACTGACCTTTTTGGGGGGGACTGGGTGTCTGTCTGTAGCTCTGGCTGGCCTCCTACCTCTATCCCTTGAGGCTAGGATTACAAGCATATGCCACCATGCCCAGCTTGTCTTTATTTTAAAGAGGAAGATACTAAGGCATGGAAAGCTAGACCAACTTGCCTAGGCCACCCACTTGGTAAATGATCCAGGACTGCTTCCTGATTACTTCCCACGTGAGAGTTCCACAGGCTGCCATGCCGATTCACAGTGGTGTCATTACCTCTTGTGAAAGCATCTCCTCACTGCTAGGGGCCCCATGATGGGGTGCAAGGGTCACTGGCCAACCCTTCACTGTACAGAGGAAGGATTTTGTAAACCAGCAAGATAAAGTACATGTCCCTTGTCACAAATCAATTTAGACAGAGTAGGTTGCCCCCTGCTGGTGCCCAGCTCTAGCTTCCTGGGACCCTTGTAGGTTCCAGTCACTCCTGTGTTTGGGGCTAAGTTAACCTTTAGAGACCTGAGTGTCTGGGGATGGGGGAGTCACCCTGTTGAGTGGCCCACAACAGTGGCCTACACAGCCCTTGCTCTACCCTGCCTTACTTAACCTGCCTGGCCACCTGAGGAGGCAAGGCCCATGTTCCATCTTTGTATGGCCAGATTCCAAAGTCCACTCCTATTCCTTACCAAATCTCACTACCAAATGCTCTGGCCTCAAAATAGAGCCCTGGATGCCGGCCAGCACACATCCCCTCCCTAAGTCTGTGAACTTTAATGTTTAGCATTAATGAGTGGTACAATCATCAAAACCAAGACAGCTACTCTTCTTGGAGGCCTTTGTGCTGCTCCGGGCCTGGTGCATAACTGCAGTTCCTCTTCAGCCCCTTAGCAGGTTCATTTTACAGGTAATGAAACTGGTAAAGGGAGGTGGGTGGCCGGCCCAGGACACAAAGCTAGTGCTGGGTGGGGTCCGGACTCAAACACAGGTGTCCTTTCCTTTTGAAAATGACCAACAACATGATCTCTCCAGTGCACTCGCCTCCATCTCCCGCTGTGCTGGCTAGTTTTGTGTCGACTTAACACAAGCTAGAGTCATTTTGGAAGAGGAACCTCAACGGAGAAAATGCCCCCCCCCAAAAAAAAAGATTGGCCTGTGGTGCATTCTCTTGATTGGTGATTGATGTGGGAGGATCCTCACTTACCGTGGGCAGTGTCATGCCTGGGCGGGGCGGAGGGGTCGTTCTGAGCCGGGCGGTGGTGGTGCACGCCTTTAATCCCAGCACTCGGGAGGCAGAGCCAGGCGGATCTCTGTGAGTTCGAGGCCAGCCTGGGCTACCAAGTGAGTTCCAGGAAAGGCGCAAAGCTACACAGAGAAACCCTGTCTCGAAAAACCAAAAAAAAAAAAAGAAGGCAGGCTGAGCACGACATGGACGGGGAATAGACCATTAAGAAGTGGCTCCTCCATGGTCGGTCTCTGCCTCAGTTCCTGCCTTGACTTCCTTCCACGATGGACTGTGACCCCACATTGCTTTTGGTTGGGGTGTTTTTAATCACAGCGATAGAAACCCGACCTAAAACAGCTTTTGAGAAAGGGTCTTGCTGTGTAGTTCAGATAATACTTGAACTCAGTCCTTGTGCCTCTGCCTCCCGAGTGCTGTGATTTACAGGCATGTACATGTCTGGCTTTTCCCCATATTTTTGGACCTGTACTCTTTGTCTCTTTTTTAGGATAATAACTTTAAACCTGTGGTGAATATAAAGGTTTAAACGTTGCTATTTGGACCACTCTAAGTGTACAACTCAATGCCATTGAGTACACTTACAGTGTTGTATGGCTGTTATCACTCCTGCCAACTCATCACCCCCAACGGGCTGTATCTGTTAAGCAGTGCCTTTACTTCCCCCTCCCCCAGCCCTGTTTGCTTCTGATACCCTCCATCCCTATGAGCCCACTGTCCTAGATGGTCCATGTAGGTGGACGCACACAGCATCAGTGACAGCCTCCATCCCTATGAGCCCACTGTCCTAGATGGTCCATGTAAGTGGATGCACATGGTATCACTGCTTTGTTTCAGCAGACCAGGTTCTGCTACAGCAGGAGTCCCCAGTCTCTCAGGCCCTTAGTGTCTCACCTGCCAAACAGACCCAGGAACCAAATCTAACCTCCCCATCAGGGAAGCCACCTTGAGGAACACCATCCTGAGAGGGCCAGTGGTGGGATCTGGAAGTCCCTGGTTCCTCAAAGACAAGAAGTGGTTTTGTCCAGAGTCATAGCAACAGGAATGACGGCGGCGAAGCAGCAAATGAAGGGGAGGGAGTCTCCGGCAGGAAGACGCAGCACTCCCAGGGCACGGGTACCAAGCTGACGCAGGCCAGGACCAGCCTGGTGCTGACTGTACTGCCTGCAGCACTGAGTGATGGTTTTGCTTAAGTGGGCCTGAGAGCTGCTGTCTGCAGAAAAACAAGCCCTTCGAGACTCAGGGAAGCCAGTTATACCTACTGAGCGCCTCTGGTACACTGAACAAAAAGGTAGCTGGCTTGTATGGTCAGTACTGGACCCATGACGTAGAAACAGCACTTACTGTTTCCTTTCTCGTTCATCAGGAGCCACGTCCCGCACTTCAAGGTCCAGGCTGAGCTGACACAAATTCCTGCCCAGCCTGATGATCTTCAACCCACCCTTCTAGCAACACGGCCTGTGCCAAGATCCACAACTGACCATTTGCAGGTGGCACTGTGACCGATCCCGCTTTGGCCAGAGGAAACACCTAGAGCCTCCTTCTACCCTCACAAGCCTCACACCTATTCCTGAACTCCAACCCCCTTAGCAAACTCTCACGGACCTGTGATCTGCTGCAGGCCACAGCCACAAGTCCATCCTCCTGCTTCCCCTCCCAGGGACTGGCCTACTCATTTCCTCTGCCCTTTTCAGCCCTTGGCGCCAGGGGCCGGCTATCCTGAGCCTTTGGCTGAGTGCCTTCCTCCTTCCAGCTGCTCCTTGACGGGGGCTCCATCCAAGTTAACTGTTACCTAGCCCTGCGCACACACACACACACACACACACACACACACACACACACACACACACACGGGCATGGGCACGGGCACACCCTGAAAGCATGGGGCACTAAGACAAAAGAGCTCCCAAGGCTGTGACTCAGCACAGATCCAACACCAGAGTTACCTGCTTGGTTGGTCAGGAACCACTGACCAACCGCTGGATTGAGCTGGAGGGAGGGAAGGTGGGGAGGGAAGGGGGAGGAAGGGAAGGGGCTGATAAC